TATCTCTCTCTCTTTCTCTCTCTCCCTCTCTCCCTCAACCCCACCTGTGCTCCGTTCTTGGTGATGAGATGCCTCCAGAGATTCGCTCGATCGCCGTACGTCGGCCGATACACCATCAACATCTTCTGGTAAACCGACGACATGGACTGAAAGAAGAATTAACACGTTTTTATCTGATCGCAGGTCCGGGTTTGGGTTATTTTTAACTGGCGTGGACATATTTCGCTAATTATATGTGACTGAAAGAAGAACTAACACGTTTTTAGCTAATCACAATTCCGGGTTTGGGTTATTTCTTAACTGGCGTGGACATATTTCGCTAATTATATGTGACTGAAAGAAGAACTAACACGTTTTTATCTGATCACAGTTCCGGGTTTGGGTTATTTCTTAACTGGCGTGGACATATTTCGCTAATTATGTGACTGAAAGAAGAACTAACACGTTTTTATCTGATCACAGTTCCGGGTTTGGGTTATTTCTTAACTGGTGTGGACATATTTCGCTAATTATGTGTCTGTAAACTTTTTAATGATATATAATGATGGTATTGTAGCACGCACATACCTGCGGAATTACACAGAAATAACAGATGAAACGATAATGTTTTGTCTTAACCATTTTCCTTCGATAAGGAAACCGCTATCCAAACAGAAACCATTATACTTGAGAACATAAAACCGATATCCAAACAGGAACCGGTATGCTTATCCAGCGAGGACATAAAAATAACAACTCTTTTTCGGGAACAACTTAAGGACACAACCACACGCACTTTGACGTCGCAGTTCCAAGGGGCATTGGTGGTTCCTACAACAACGATCCTGTCTTCGGGTCCTATGTTCTTGAGCATGCGTGGCATCTCCTTCCTGAGGCGTCTAGGGTCCGACTTGTCCGTCTTCGGCACCTGGAAATAGTAGAGAAAAAACCCCGATAGCGTTAGTCCTTTTGGGGTAACTTGGACCCCGAGAGTGTTTACCAGATGTGCAAGATCAATATTATGAAGAAAAAAAACATGGTTTATCGTACATTTAAGAAAATAGGTCACTGCAGGATTGATAAAAAGTAAATGGTAATGTAAAATAAGAAGCAATAAATTACAACAAAATTGTAATGCGAAATTGTCATCAAACTGGTTCCACAATCTTTGTGTGTGAGCCTTTCTAGTTCTCTCTCTCTCTCTCTCTCTCTCTCTCTCTCTATCTATCTATCTATCTATCTATCTATCTATCTATCTATCTATCTATCTCTATCTCTATCTCTCTCTCTCTCTTTCTCTTCTTTCTCTCTCTTTCTCTCTCTCTCTCTCTCTCTCTCT